AGTTATAATTTTTAATTATATTATAATTGAATTATTATTGTTTATTATATAATCTTATAATATATTTTGACAAACTTATCTTTATGTTATATATAACAATATTTTATCTACTAATATAATATATAAAATGTAATATAATATAATTATTATTATATAATATATTATATAATTATGATATATAATATAACAATATTATTAAAATTCTGGCTGGTACCACTAATAAAATCCAGGGTGAGAGCGAAATACTAAAATAGTTTATGTATTGTATAGATTAGGTCAAATTTTCTAAAGGAATAGTTGCCAACTTGCCAATTCTCTCTAGAACTAGAAGCGGTATTTCTCTAATTTGCCCACAGGTTATTGGTTGACGATGCATTGCGCAACTTCAGACAGTTGTCCTTTTTGTTCTTCCACCAAGAAAACATTCTCTCTCTCTCTCCACTCTTTTTTTTTTTTTTTTACCGTTTTCTTCCCTCCAAAAGCTCAAAGCTCGATACTTAATTATTAAACGGTATAATGAAAAATAACTCAAATTTTTTATATTTATTAAAATTAGGTATAATAATATTATGAATGTAATTAATAAAATATCTTTTTATGCAATTAAAAAATTGTTGACTGTAAAGTAATTTATTAAGGATAGAAAAGTAAATTTAACATTTATTTCATTAAGGTAAATAGTAAATTTAGCATTCATATTTTTGACAATGAATCAGAGGTGTAAGGATTGATATTCTCCGTTCTATGTAAACTTCGTGGTTCTGGCTATGGTGCTCTGACGAGAATTGATGAGTGAGGCGGCATGAGTTTTGTTCATCTCGTTGATATGAGTTCATAGAGACCAGAATCACCTCGATCGGAGATCGGATGGTGAAGATATCACAACGAGAAGAAATATGTATTTTCAGAACTTCTGTCGACGATTGCGGCTTCGTTCAAAAGAGTTGGCAGCTGCATAACACCATACCAAGCTCAGCTCAACGAGAGCTTTCTATTGGTGTGGGAGGTGTCGAAAACCGACACCGGAATAGTGATCGACGGTGGGCTACCATGAACGGAGAAGGAAGAGAGAGAGTGAGAGAGTGAACATGAGAGGGAAGAGAGAGAAAATGTGAGAGAAAGAGAGAGTATGCGAACGTGAGGGTAATGAGAGAGAAAGTATTTCCATAATTATACTACCTAACACATCAAATCAATGTCAAATCTCGTCCCTTGATCTTATCCTCAAAAACCCCCTCCAAATAAATAAAGTTTATAATGATTGGAGGTAATTAGCTTAACTGACCTAAATTAATCTACTATTTACAGTCTGGTGTTAATATCTGAGTAATTTCATACCGATTTCAAATCTAAATCGTGTAAACAATCGGACTGTTTCAAGTCTAAAAATTATTTTTAGACTAATTAAAATCTTAACTTGACTTTTCTGCATTTTATCTCGGAAATGACATAATTACTAATAATGTTAATTCCCGAGCTCGAATAGCATTTTTTTTAATCGAAAATACTATTTGCGTAAATTTAGTCAAACGAATTTGGCAATTATTGACTTTTTAAGTGTTAGAGTGTCTCTCAATACACTACTAGTACCATACTGATTTTCAAAATTCTTATAATCAAAATTCTCGAGTCTTTGATGGATTGATATTTCTTCCGCCTTAAATCGCGATAAGAATTATCAACCAAATCATTTCGATAATAAAAATAAAATAACTTTAACTTAGAATTTCATTTAGTCATTCTTTATTGAATATTAATAATTTCGTAAATTCTTAAATTATAAGGCATGATAATTTTCAGGAAAATTCTTAACTTAATTACTAAATTACGCTATTTAATTACAAGATTTTATCGATCATTACAGCTAACCTGTTTATGAGTGTCTCATGTAGGTCGTTCCCATGAGCGGAGTGATGCCGTCGTTAAGT